GATCCCATTCAGTTTATTTATCAAGCCCACAAATATATATCATTTGGCAAAAATGTCAGTGAGTTTGCTGCTGCTATTGGTGGAAGCAAACAGGGTTACCTGACAAACTTTTAACAGGATAACTCTAGTCCAAAACAGACTCTTCATTGAGGCTGAAGGCTATACATGATCCTATGCATCCTATGTTTATGTGCTATATAAACAAAATTCAAATATAAAATTCAGAATAAAGCTATATTCCTAGTAGTATAAAATGGAAATTCTATATACAGTAGAAGGAGCAAAGAGAAGAAAAATAAGGGAAGAAATCTAAGAGAATACTAAAATTTAGTATTTGGAGGAGAAAAAGGACAAAAACTACTTTAAGAAATACTTAAGCCACTTAATGAATACATAGAGTGTTGTTTTTATAGCAGCACCTTCAAGAAATACCTCTGAAAGAGTTTTGAATAATACAGCTAGAGATAAATGAAGTAAGAGACATGTTATTCAGAGGTCATTAAAAACAATATGAATATGGCAATTTTCAGTAAAAACAGAAAATGTCGTTTTTGATTTGGCTATACAAAATACAAAAATTCAAGTGACTGAGGTTCCATACTTCCAAACCAAAAAACCAAACCCATGTCATAGAATTGATTCCAACTCATAGTAACCCTACAAGGACAGAGCAGAACCCATAAAATTTCCAAGGCTGTAAATCCTACGGAAGCAGACTGCCTAACATTTCTCCTATGGAGTGGCTGGTGGGTTCAAGCCACAAACCTTTTGGTTAACAAATGCCTTAACCACTGTACCATCGTAGCTCCTTTTCCACATTGCCAATTCACTGAATTCCTGTCCAGCATCATGAAAAATGGATTGAACATTTCTGCATATAACCATTGTTCTTGTATAAAAAGAATGAGCAGCTCGTAAAGCTACTTGCAAAAAAAAAAAAACATCAAAGTGAATAAAGTCACTTGTTTGTGCAAAAATGCCAAAGAAATGCTAAGGTGTCTCATGTAAGAAACAGTAGATGACTGGTTTAACCTGTCCCTAACCTTCACTTTTCTATCCATTACCATCTACAATATTTACTATTTCATCAAACATTAAGCATATAGTGTATATCTTGCCTAAGTTTGGGGCAAAAAGGATATATGAGAAAAAGATAATTTCCACCATTATGGTCAAAATTACAAATATTAAATTTTCAAAACTGTAGAAGAGTTCAAAGTTGAATTATGTTTAAGCATTGATTATTACTATTCATGACACTATTTCTTCCTTTTGAAAAGGTATGTATAAAACACTGTTGTTATTTCAAATCCTACGTATCCTTCTCCTGCAGCACAAAATTATTTGTACTTCTTGGAAAACAATTCCCTGATAAAGTAAGTTACACTTTCTTGGCCAGGAGTCCAGCTTCTCTACTTACACTGGCACAGAGGGCTTTATCTTTTGAGAGTCAGTCCCTTTAAGAGTTTGTCGATGTGTGCAGCCTACGCTATACCAACTCAGAGTGACTCCATGTGACAGAGTAAAACTGCCCCATAGGGTTTTCTTGGCTGTAACCTTTACAGAAAAAGAATGCTACATCTTTCTCCCACAGAGCCACTGGATGGGTGTGAACCACCAACCTTAGGGTTAGCAGCTAAGCGGTTAACCGTTGTCACCAAGGTTACTGTGTGTCAATAAAAGATTGTACTGTTCTTTTTTTAAAAATAAAAAGTCTTCAAAGTGCTTTAAGGAGCTCTGAATGCTCTTTTTAGCCTTCACAGTTTGAGATCAATGGATAAGCCATTGCAGAGGGCAGGGGTCTAATATTGCATAACAACTGTTCCTCCATATCAGTTTGTCATGGTGATTGTTCACTGACATTGTAGATGTACCATTAGATCTTTGAAAAGTTGTTGAAGGACATAAAACTGGTCTGGCAGAAAAAGCACTGGCTTTACAACCAAAGTCTTACCTTTGGTAACCCTTAGGCAAGTCATTTAAATTCTCTGTTGTTGCTGTTGTTATGTGCCTTAACACAGTCTCTAACAAGGGTTTTTTAGCAAGGGCTTCCTTATCTGTGAAATGGGCTAAGAATTCCTTCCTCATGTGGATTACTAAAAGAATTAGGTAAAAATATAGTGTGAAATTCCTTGTCAATCATAAAATCATGCAAAAGTTAATAAAATTTATAGAAATATGTGAGGGTTAAATGTGATAATATAAAAAAGGCTACAAGAAGTGACTGGCACATAAAGCTTATTCCCCACCCTTTCTGCAATTACAAAATGATTAAACATAAACTAGACACCATCATCAAAAAGACCTACATCCATTTGGCCTTTAAATAGAACTATATACTTAAACTTTTCTGTACACTTTTCTGATACATAACTTTTTTAATGTATTTGAGTCTGTCTTGATTCTACGGTAAAGATCTAGATCATTAAAGCTTTACACAGATCAAGATTTGAAACAATCTTCCTGCACTGATGAAAGTTTTAATGAATGTTTTCAAAGAATAAAGTAATTCCCTTTTTACCAGAGTTCTAGAATGAGAAAATAATTTGTTTTGAAGATGACGACAAACATGGAAAAAAAATAACTAACTTTCTCAAGGCCATGAGTTTAGCATTTGGGATTCTAACAAGACTTCAAACTTTTAACCCATTGATTGAAAAGACTGGTTATGTTCTATACAAGTTAAATGCCCAACACATGGCTCTGAGAATAATCTTAAAAAATGTAAAAGCTCTTTAGTGACTGAAAACTAAAATACCAAGACTGAAATTATATGATCTGTGAATTAGTCAAGTTCCTAAATGGTACCAGTTTACAAAATATAAACAAACTATGTAGTTGTTATGTTGGATTTAGCCTTGGGCAAGTCAATAGAAACAACAGAAAAATTCACAGGTTAAAATAATCCAATGTACCATGTCTTTTTCTTTTTCCTAAAATCAGGACTGGTTTCATAAGAGTAAAAAAGTGAAAAAAAAAAATTATATCTTTCATTAATAAGACCATGGAAATAATATTCTAAACCTTATAATTAGAAATGAAAAATGAGATAAAACTCAATTAGAAAGTGCCTTAATGTGCTAAAAAATGGAGGTCAGATGTCCTTTTTTTACAAATGACTTTTATCACATTTACAGAAAGAGAAATGTTATGCTGAAGAGGCAGCACAATAAAGTAGAAAGAGCTCTAGACTTGGAGTCAGAAGACCTGGATACTATAGTCTCGTCTTGGCCCCTAATTATGTCTGTGACTTTGAGTAAATAAATGACTTTTTTGGGCTCCAATTTTCTCATCTGTAAAATAGAGGTAGAACTAGACTGCTCTTAAAGACAGTCCCCAGTTAGACGTAAAATTCTTCAATAAGCAATTTAAATATTCTTAAATCCCAGGGTTACATAACAGGATCCTGTCATATTAGTAATCTCTGTACAAAGTGATTTATTATTCCATAGCAGCTAGCCCTCTGATCAAGTGCATTTCAAGTTAATGATTTGACTGCTTTAAAAAGGTGGTTTTCTATCAGCACTGAAGTCAGTATTTTGCTACTGGTATACACTATAGGTTTGGAAGAATGCTGAAACATTCTCGTTACAAGGGACATCACAATGCCAATGTCTGTTACCACTTCCTATTGCCTGTGCTGCAGAAGACAGCACATGGATGACAGCATGAGGAACACCAAGCTGAAGAAAAACCATATACCAGTGTTCCCCGTCTTACTACTGGGTTCCATTCCACCAACTGTACTGTAAGTAGGTTCTGATGTAAGTTGGATACCTTATTTTCCTTTGAAGTTTTCATTATTACTGCCTTTCATTATCAGTATCTTTATAAATCTGATCTTTGAACATCTGAGTGAACATCTGAGAATGATAACATCAGCAAATTATGTGCTGCAACATTGTATTTTGTCCACATTACCAACTATAAGCTGTCCCCAAAAAACAAACAGATGGTTTTAAGTAGGGTTTGTCTTTGTTGTAACTCAGTTATGTTGTCACTCAAGGCCACCCTTCACAAAGATGCATTTAGCAGTTAGCAAAAATGAGGAAGTTGTGCATACGTTAAGCCCTTTCTCTTGATTAAGTATAAAAAAACAGAATAGATGTATTTCTGTTTGGGGAAGTTTGCCTGCCATTCAGTCTGCCTGGCCTTTTCCTTCCATTAATAAAATCCATAGAAACAACAGGAGGAGATACAGGAAACTATCATAGGTAAAAGCTTATATAGAAATTTGGAATTTAGCAAATGTTTAAGTCAAAACCACCTTTTGTATAACAGATGCATTTGCAAGGTTCTGAAAACACAATCCACCAAGTAATTTAATGTGATAATGGAATTTGTTTTTAAAAGCAAAATAATACCTTTTATTTGTTTGATAAAACAATGAAAGTTTTTACACATTTGAACCTAAGCTGGAAATACATACACATACAAAAAGAAATCTGTATACATCACTAGCAAGAGTCTTATTTTGAATAGATTACAGAGTATCCATTTTAAAAAGACACAAACATGACCTTGGATGGTACATTTCTATGCTGGCAAATACATTTTCTGATACAAAGGCACTTTAAAAACCCAATATGGTTTGGTTCGTAAGTTTGCAAAGTACAAACAATTTTACAAACATATGATTATACTGAAAAACGTCAACAATTGTGACTTTACATATAAAACAGATTTCCACTTTTTTTTTTTTTTTTTAAGTAACACTGGTTTTGTGGGAATGAAAGCAGTGGTTTCGAGCAACTTTAGTGAAGACATTCCAGATGACTGGAGGCCCACAGCCTGAATTTCCTACTGGCTAGTGATGAGAGGTGGGGGTGGGAGGGTGCGGGATAGAAATAAAGAAAAATCAACAACATGGAACAAAATCAGAAACCTCAGAAATCAAAATGGTTTGGAGGGAAGAGCACAAAAGATAAGACCAGAAGTCCTGGAGTTAGGATTTTAATTCTCATCCCTTAGCTGTGAACTCTGGGCAGAGCAAAGATGGCTGACTCTACCTGGTCTACTAGGTGCTAGAGGGTGGTAGTGATGATTCTCTTTTAAAAAGCTGGGTACCATGTTCTGGGTTGTACAGTACCAGAAAAGGATGGTCCAAAACATAATTTATTTTCATTCCTACATGGCCGCAAAGTCAATCTGTACATAAAGCTGTCTCACCCCAGCCTGGAAAAAAAAAAAAAAATTAGAAAATCAAGCCAGTAAGAGACTACATATTTGATAAAAATAGGAGAAATCTAATTGATCTGAATACAGAAAGAATATTTTTCTATTGTGCTTCTGGGAAATAATTCTCTTATCCATCATAAAGCATTAGAAAATTATTTTCGAAATAAATGTATTCATAAATTCCAAAACAGAGATTTTATTTACCACTACAAAAGAAAAGCATGTGACATTTATAAAAATGTTTATAAAATGTTTATAAAACCTCTACCATCCTGCTCAACTGATTTGCAACTAAATAAAACCAACAAATCAGCCCAGTCTAAATCCTATGATAAAGGATAGTAAAAACTTTAATAAGTGTAACCATCTGTCTTGGTTCTCCAGTGCTGCTATAACAGAAATACCTCAAGTGGATGGCTTTAACAAACAGGAATTTATTCTCTTACAGATTGGGAGGCTGCTGTTGTTATGTGCCGTCGAGTCAGCCCCAACTCACAGCGACCCCTCCCCTTGGGTTTCCAAGGCAGTATCACTACAGAAGGAGGATTGATTGCCCAACCTTCCTTCTGAGGAATGGCTGGTGGGTTTGAACCGCCAGCCTTCTGGTTAGCAGTCAAGTGCTTTAGGCACTGTGCTACCAGAGCTCCTTTTAGGAGGCTAGAAGTTCAAATTCAGTGCCAGCTCTAGGGGCTGACTGAAGATCTCTCCACTTTGGGCTTCAGCGCTACCTCTTTATTTTAGGCCCACTGGAGCTAGAGGCATCTCCTGACTCAGGCAGCAGCTGGCTGCTAAGGCTGACAAACCCAAGGTCAGTAGGTAAAATGGCAGAATGCCAAGATCAGTAGGCAAGATGGCAGGCCACTAGTTCAAATAATGCCAAGACTGGCTGGTCACTGGTTCACATCCAGGAAGTGGAGATGAAGACTCAGAAAATGGCAGGATCTGAATGTGCCAAAAGCTAGAGACCTTTCTCAAAGCTTTTTCTTACACACTGGAAGCAGGCCACACACTGAAGGCAACTACTTAATTGCTCACAGAAGATTGCACCCTGGAGGTGATTATAATCTCATTATGGGGAATAACTACATCCAGCTGCCCAGCCACTCAAAACCACGGCCCAGCCAACTTGACATACATCCTTAACTACCACACCACCTACTGGTTATTTAATGATTTTACACTCTAATTCTGCTCTTTAATTTTGGATATTATCTTGCTATTCACAGACACTGCTTCCAAAACTGCCCTCCATTACTCTTACATTATCAATTTTTCCCTTCCTACAAGATCATTCCCATCAGCATACAAACATACTGTAATTTCTCCCATTTTGAAAAAATCTTTCCTAACCTCCCCCCTCCCTTCTGCCTACAGTCCCACTGAACCAATTTCAACCTAACTTTTGGCTTTCATCCCTTACCCAAAACTGTCAAGTTTCTATCTTGTTTCTTCAAGTTTACACTCCTGCTTAATTCTCAGTCCTCATCTTACTACTTATTCTATGAGCAATAACTCCTACTGAAACAGAATACTCACTTGTTTGTCCTTCTACTGCTCTTTCACAATCCCTTGCTGGTTCTTCTTCCTATCTTTGAACACTACACACTGGAGTACCCGAAGGCTCAATCCTCAGAACACTTGATCTCATCTAGTATCCAGACTTTAAGTGCATCCTACCTGCTCACACCTTCCAAATTTGTATTTCCAAAGTGGAACTTACTCCTTCAACTCAAGTCATAAATCTACCAGCTACTCGGCAGCTCAACAGAGCCAACTTGAATTCTTTATCTCCTCGCTTCAGACTGGATGATCCTGTGGTTTTCTACAGCTCAACTGAAAGCCTTTTTTTTTTTTATCCCCCCCTTTTCCCACCCAATAGCTAACCTATTAGCAAATTCTGTTAGCCTTACTTCAAAATACACATACCAGAATCACCTCCATTGTTAACACCCTGGTCCAAGCCACTATCATCTCTTCCCTAGATTTTGCAATGGCTTCCTTTCTGGTTTTACTGCTTCTGCCTTTGCTCTCCTTTGGTCTATTCCTTCCCAGCAAAGCAACTAGAGTGATGCCAATCCTTCACTTGAAACTCAACAGCATACTTCATCTCGACAGGCCCACAGTCCTTAAAATGGCCTATAAAGCCCCCTTGTGATCTGGCCTGTGACAGCCTCTCTGATCTCATCTCTTACTCTATGTTCAATCTGATTCAGCCACACTGGCCCTCCTTACTGGAGCGCATTTCCTGGAAATACCCACATGGCATATGGCCTCTCTTGTCATATCTCTACTCAAAGATCAGTACAGCTCCCCTGATGACCCTATATAAAATTCATTTAATTCATTCATCCAACAAATATTTCTTGTGTATCTATTGTGTGTAAGGCACTATCCTGTGAACGAAACAAATAATAAACTTGCGCTTGCAGAGCTTATTACATTCTACTGGGAACTGGAGGAAGGGGAGTATGTAAGATGATTATATGCTACAGAGAAAAAAACAAAACTCGGCACAAGAGATGGAAAATACCTCTGCATTCTTGATCTCCCATAACACTGCCTTCAGATATATTATAAAACTTACTTATTCATCGTGTTTATTTGTCAATCTCCTCACATTTATAATGTAATAATCAAGGTCAAGGCTATTATCTTTTTTTACACTGCCAATTCCCCACACTGCAAATGTTGTTATGTGCCGTGGACTCAACCTGACTCATAGTGACCCCTCCCTGGGTTCCTGAGGCAGTATCACTAGGGAAGTAAAATGCCCAACCTTCCTTCCTAGGAGTGGCTGGTGGGTTTGAACCACCAACCTTCTGGTTAGCAGTCAAGTGCCTTAGGCACTACGCTACCCAGTATATAGTAAGTATTGAATAAAGCATGTGATCAGTCACAATAAGCCCTTTCTTATCAGTACCACAGAAGAAAGGTAAATAGGAGTATTTAAAAGAAAGGAAAAAATAAGAATGGAAGATAAAAGTCTATTAACAATATCTTCTTATAGTAATTTCTGGGCTACTCAAAGCCCTACTTTCTAGCATTTTTTTTCCCTAGCATTCAAGTTGTTGTTGTTGTTATGTGCCGTCGAGTCGGCCCCAACTCATAGCGACCCCTCCTTGGGTTTCCGAGGCAGTATCACTACGGAAGTAGGATTGCCCAACCTTCTTTCCGAGGAGTGGCTGGTGGGTTTGAACCTCCAGCCGTCTGGTTAGCAGGCAAGTGTCTTAGCCACTATGCTACCAGAGCTCCCAAGAGCATTCAAGTAGGAGTGTTCTATGCAATACTAACGTGTAACAGGAGTTAGGAATTACTCATAGAATGAAAAGCTACGTAGACCCTAGACAACTTTTCTCCCCTGCTCATTACAAAATAAAATCATTGCTATGGAAACCCAAGGAGGAGTCGCCAAGAGTTGGAAAGGACTCCACAGCAGTTAGTTTTTTTTTTTTTTAATGGTAATCTTTTATTCAAAAAGCGCTCTCTACTGAAAGTACATTTAAAAGCACTCTCTCCTTAAAGATTAAGAGGCTTCTGGCAGATAAAAAAAAAAAAAAAAAGACCTTACTATCTCTATGATCTTGATCTAAAAATTAAAACTGAGAAACATTTTAATTGTGACCCCCGAGTTGGGGTGTTCCACCCAAGCCATCTGCCCTTGGATGTCCTTTTGAGTCTTGAGCCTTTAGGGAACTGTTTCCCTAAAGTCACCTTCAAGTCAAACAGCCTAATAAGCAGCTTAGTGGAGATCATTTTTGCCCTGGAGCCAGTTTCCAGGAGCAGGACCCACAGAGTCTGACTGGAAAACTTATGGCACATCCTTAGTCACTGTTTCTGCCCTGACCAGCCCTGGAACCCTGCACCTGTTCTGATGCTATCTTCTGAAAAATTAACATGACAAAGTCCTGCATAACCTGTTTTCACTATCCTGTCTTTGGAGTCCCTTTCCAATACTTTTGCGTTGACACTGCCCAATTCCAATTGTATGGACTCACAATAAATATATTCTATTACATTAATTTTGGTGTTTCTTTGTACATTTAGGGTTTTGACAAAATTAAATCTTAGTTTTTCTCAATTTAAAACGATGTTGATAAATAGCAATCCTATTTATCTCACAGAATTGTTAGACATTTGTCCAATATTTGACACATATTTAACAAAAACATACCAGATACTGTTGTAAGGATTTCCTGTGAAATGTATGAGAAAGGAATTCATATGCTATAAAAGGCTATTACAAATTATTATTGATTATAATTATTATATGATTTGATTTATTCAACCCAGATGGTCCATGAAATGACTCTATTTAGGCAAAAGTCATGAATATCTAACCTTAAAAGAAAACAACTATTGCCCAAATATATTGTCTTTTTTCTTTCAATAGTTAAATGAAAGCAAAATAAATCGAATGTCATTTGAGCTCCTTTTATTCTCTCTGCTGTCTTCCTTATCCCTAGTCCTAATACAGTGAAGATGGTAATAAGAAATGAAGTAGCCCAAGGCAATTAAAAAAGAAAGGAAAAACAAAGAGACTAAGTAAACTGATCTTTGCATAATCATGAGTTAATTACTCAAACTGATACCTTTCCCCCACCCAGGGACAACAGCTTTCTACAAAGGCTCAGCCTAACAGGTTTTTTTTTTTTTTTTTTTTTTTTAAAGGCACTGTGCTTCATCTATCTGTCTCTATGGGAGCAGCTTCAAGTTTTCCCATTTTCCTCCTTCAATTTCCTTTGAGGAGAGGAATTTCCGAAGAATTCTTTGGTAAGTGACCTCTCTGAATGTAAACTAGGTTTTCTATACAGTTGAAAAAATGAAGCGCAATTCCAGACCCAAGATTAATCCTACCAGTATTTGTTTGTTTCCCACCCCCACTCAAAAGTGTCAGTCTTTTCTCTCCTGTTGGAAGCCAGGCTTACTTAATTTAGATTTCAAAAGGTGTCATGCCTGCAGGTGGGTAGAGGGCCACAGATCACCCTGTGACCCAACTC